TAAACAGATTTATTGGTTTGACGATCCTATTCAAAATGGCCAAATGGTGGTCATTATTGTGCTAAAAAGATCATCAAATATCAAGCATTTCTGGCATTTATGGATGGATTTCGTTCAAACTTGGTACATACATTAGACATTACAGGTTCCTGATGCACGTCATTTTATTTTTCAGATTGGATTCAAAATGGCTGACTGGCGGCCATTTTGTTTTAATGATTGTGCTTTGAGAGCCATATCTCTTAAATGCTTTGACTTATTACATTTAAATTTTATATTCGTTATACATCATGTTATATATATACATGTAGTCAAAATGGAAGATTTTGAATGCTGTTCCAGAGCAATATCTCTCAATATGGACAAGTACTTGTTTGACGATCAGATACAAATGTCGATCATTTTAATGTTAAAAAAATCATATTCCTGACATGGTTATATTCCCAACTATATTACTATAAACAAAACTATATATCTTAAATTTGATAACTAACAGGGACTGAATAACATGGCAAACTTTTGCACAATCTGCATTGATCATATTTTAGTACTCTGACCTGATTAAACTTTGAACCTTTTACCTTTTACTAATATCTTTCTTCATAGCAAACAATTATGCTAATTTGCTTTGATTCTGTACTTTTAATTGGTAGGACAACTCAATTTGACAATGGATATCCCAACGATAGAGATTTATACACCAGTTTGAGGTACAACACATCACTTGGGTTATCATCCAAAACAGTTCACAATTCTGGTTATTCTAGCACAGGTAAGCAACCTATACTGATAATTACTTAACATGGCCAACTACTAAATACAAATAATTTATTAAGTTTTGAAAAGAAGTTACAGCTAGTCATCATTAAATAGTATTCCACCAGATTGAGTGTGTGAGAAAAATCAGACAAAGAAAGGATTGAATCCTGAGTTTGCTGTGTCAGTGTGGTAAAAAATATGTGAAAATAATAATTTATGGATGAAGTGTGTGTGTTTATATGAGAGTGTATTTATTATTTAATTCCTATTCAGCATGTGTTTTACAAGTTATTTATTGTTGTTAGTATTAATTCTTTGACTTAGCTGTTCCCCATGTGTGTATGCTTTACTTACATATAAAGTATGTTTGTTTATTTGAATGGAATGTGCAAACTTATTTATTTGGCAGGTCAGTATCTTACAAGATTGGCTTCTCAGTGGAAAGGAGGTAGCTACAGTAATATTTGTAGTAATGTTTAGCTTTATTTAATCCATATATTTACAGTTGACCATCATAATATAAATATTCAAGCACCCTTTGGTGCACACTACGCATGTTTTCGCACACACGTGCATGCATGATAATATTACATCTAGATGAGCACAATAGTATTTAGAATTCTACACACTTGGCTTATAATATTAAAAAGCTTTTTACATTTTTTGGAAATGATTTGTGCATAATTAAATTCCACAGATGTCCCACTTGTTTGTCCCACCAATCTCATCTTCTGTTTGGTGTATTCAGGCATGAATTCCCACCCACAGAATCTGTCCATCCCTATGCTTTGTATAATTGCATAAAATTAGATCTACATGTGAGTAGTTTCTCTGGAGAATATTGTGTTGTACTGATGAACTTACATGGATTAATTGACAAAGATCAACGCTGCAAGAGACTGAAACCATTCATCCCTCCGCTTTATCCATACCTCTCAGCGAGATACTTAACTTATCCCATTTACTAAGGGTGTTTGAATATTTAAAGATACTGTATTTGAGTACATTTCATTATTTCTGTGGTTTAGTAGTGAATCTGTGGAGTGTCCATATGGTTTGTGTATGTATGTTTCCTCTAATTTTCTTTATTTGGTATAACAAAGTTAGTTAGCCTTATTTAAGCTGTAATAGTAACAAAAAGATGTGCGTGCAATAGTATTCATTAACGTCAATAAACATAACATCATTCTTACTAGGTGCATTTCAATTTCAAAAATAGTAATCTGATGTTCTCCTCTTACCCAGCATGTTGAATCTCTACAAATGTAGTTACATCATAGTTCTATATTTCTGTATTTTAACAAGAGATTGACAGCAAGCTGGAGTGCCATTCCATGTATGAGCACTTCTTTTTCATCATACACATCATCAGTGTCTAGCACATTGTCTGTATAACCAGGATTCTCAATATACACTGTAATGCTGAAAACAACTCTCTAGCAATGTCACGCCATATATGGAATTGCAATTATAATATTATTATGTGGTCACTGATATTATATTTATCTGAATCTAAAATTATTGGCTTTGGAAACAAATGCAATGCAGAGTTGTAGGAGTATTCTGGTGTTTGACTTATCTCACACACATGGCTTGTTGGTATATACTGATTTTCACATTCTTTGCTTGCAGGTTCCCAACAAGGCACCATAACCAAACACTGACCATGACTGATAATATTGGACAAGATAAAGTGCAACAATTCCACTGTGATAAAAAAAAACTTGCATTTACAGCTTTGATATATTACTTTGACCATCAATAATCCAGAATGTGAGCATTATAGCATTTGCTCTTTTATTAGCACTGACAATGAATGCAATTTTGTTATTTATATGTGCTTTTAGTAGAGTAGAGTAAGTAGCTGGATTATTAGATTGTAGTATTGCATGTCAATATACTTTGGTATGTTTTTAGTTTGTGCTGTGTCAGATTGTCTTTTAAACTGCAGTATCTTCCTTGTCTGTGCATGTGATCCACTATAATACGTTAGCATTATAGTGGATGTCTGATTTGGCTTTTTCTCTACTCAAAATAAATACATCCACAATATTGTTTAATTCTTGAAGACCTATATTATCACAAACCACCGCCCACTAAAACCGAATATGTGCCTTCTTTATCATAATCTTACTTGTGAACTGTTTGTTGTTCTACTCTTGTTGTAGTTTTGCTGTTATTCAGTATATCTATGATTTCTCTGTTCTCTGTGTCAACTGTGTTAAAATTCACTCTTCCGTTTTGAGTTTGAACATTATATTCAGTTAGCATACATACATATTTTTTATTCAGTTATTTTGTACATACGATATGCTCAGATAATTCCCTTTTGTAAATATATTTGGGCTATGTGTAATTTTAAAGGGCTTTAGATATTTTATCAGTGGATATCATTTTTTTATTATTATTCCATATGATTATTTTAATGCTTTTTATTTTTTAATGACATATGACAGATTGTTTATAACTATCCTCTGTGTTGTGTTCAGAATCTGCAGTTATGCCTAGACGTGTAGCCGAATGGTTCATAAATATCTTGCCAAAGACAATGCAATGAAAACAATAAAAACATTTTTAGGCCAATAAAAAAAATACATTTGTTTCTTGTCCTGTGACATTCAAAGAAATGGTGCAGTGCTTTGACAAAACAAAAAACAAAGAGGTCTTAAGGTACCTCAATGCACCTCAATGTCTGATGACCAGAATAAAATCTATTTTTTTGGGCTATGTAAATATACCTGTAACTATATCAGTGCATGTTTTCAAAGAACAGCAGACTCCCCTACCTATCTATTGTGTACTTATTTTAAATCATGTTGAATGGAAAAAGATTATTTGTTTTCTGTATAAATTGAAATGAAGTGATTTTTTTCTTTTTTTTAAACAGACAATAAATCACGCACTTTCTTATTAAAAAAGCACTCTGTATTTATTATATTATATATATATTATACATAATGTAGGTGTTAGAACAGATTGGTTAATTTGGTAACACCAATCATCTATATTGTTGTCTGGAGTATGAATTCTGGAATATCAGTGATCACTTTTACAGAAAACACACATGTGACAGTTGGTTACATCAACGTCCATGTAATTAGTGGGTGAGGGTACAGTGATCTCTGCAATCATTCATCTCATTCAAATGAGATGAGGTCTGTGTATGTTTAATGGGATGTTGGATAACTTGTAATATTTTTTGCATCTATTGGTTTGAGAAATTTGAAGAAAAAAAACATTTTATAGGCTGGATTTTTGTACACACCCTTCAAAAAAAAAATAATTCCATGAATTCTCATTTTTCCAGTCATCAGTATTTAGCATAGGAATTATTGAGAATCCTGTATGACCCTCTATTGTATAATCCGGTGATTCTCACGTTGCTAAAAGCTTTCATGAAAACTTACTTTTAATTATAACCCTGTTTAATATTTATTAAAAATCGTAGGAAATTAATTAGAAAAATAAAAATCTCAACTACATTTGCATGACGTCAACACCATGTTGGTCAGTTGCGTGATCTTGGGTTTACGGGATTCATAGTACAGAATAGTGAGTGACTCAAGCGTTTTAGGGACGCAACATGGTACTGCCGATGCATCAGGATTAAGAGACTGATAGAGACTGAGAATGGTAGTGTGTTGAGTGTTTTGACTCCACAGATATGGACAAGCTCCGCCGCAGTAGTTGGCGTTGTAACCCTGTGGTGCGTGGATCCATGTCCAGCCAAGGTCTTTCTTGAAATCGATGTAGAGCTGTCTCAAACAGCAGTTGGTTTCTGTCGGTATAGGGAAGCACTGAGTGGCATCTAAACTACGTTTTTTACGTCCCTGGCTGTTTCCAACAACTGTAGATGCTTGTGGTGCCTGGGAAACGACAAGTATATGGGGATCTTTGCCTTCAGTGTCCTCAAAAACAGGTATATCACCTCGTCCTCCACCTCTGTTGGGACCTCCACCCGGTCCACTTGACACTGGTATCTCGGTCAAACCTGAAAGAAAGTTTTTTTTATATGCATAAACCTGTTAACTGTTGCCAGTTCTTTCAATACGCAAACTTTCACTTTTACTGTGAATGCTGGCTCACAAGACATGTAATACATGCATTCTCTGAATCATTAAACATGTTTAACATGTATGCTTTAAAATATTAACATAATATTATAATTTCATTTCTGTTTCTTAGGTTTCTTTGAAATAGTCTCTGAATAAAGACATCAATGTAATACAATTTACAAATCAATACATTTTGATTTTGGAAAAAGGGAATAGGTATCTACAAAATATAGTATTGTATCCTTAATACCTGCTATGTATATCTGTAGTTGTTCACTCTGTCCAGGAATAGGAACTCCTGATGGTGAATACTTGAAACCACCGCAAGGCACTGTCAGCTCCAGACCAAAGTCACTTGCTGAAAGAGAAATTTGGAAAAGATATGTGCATTTAATTAATTTGAAAAATGCTTACTGTTTTTAAATCTTTGTTATGTTAGTGAGTTAGCATATTCCAGTACTAGTATATCATCAATCACCATAACAACTCAGTTAGAATTTCAAGATGGTTGTTTGGTAGAGAATATTGCTCTATGGACCGTTTCCCAACCCACTGCACCCAAACTGTGAGTGTGTTGGACCAATGAATAATAATTATTCATACCATTCCATGAAAAGAATTAAAATTCTACATAAAATGCTAACAAACTAACCCCAAAAAAGTACAAAAAAGTAAAATTCTAAACGATGTCATACCTGGGATAAAAAGAAAGCGTACTGTGGAATACTTTATTTTCGCTGAAAAGGCTTTTTGGGCGTTTTGTTTGGAATTTATTTTCACTGATTTTTGGTGAGTTTAATGGGAAATATAGGAACTAAAGTATATTCGCTGGATTTTATTTTCACGGAATCATCCCTTCAGCAAAAATAGCGAAAATAAAGTATTCTACAGTAATAAAGACTGAATGAATAATACCTGGTTTAACATGCTGTTATAGATAGTAATGTATTTATATCTATTTAGTTATAGATAATATAGGAGTCACTGTGGTTTTGATTGAGATTCAGGCCTAAACATGGGTTTGTTTGTTTGTTTTACTATATGAGATTATGGAGAATAATATACTTGTAAATCGTGTTTTAATTTATGTAGACACCTTACCTGGGTCCATAATCCATTGTATGACTGTTGTTGTAATATCAAATGAAATCCAGCCACTAGAAGAAGGATTCAGAGTTCTACTATGTAGATAACGTTGTCCAAATTCTGAACTTCCAAAGGATGGAGGCAGAAGCGTATATAACTCAATTCTCTGTGACTTTGAAGTAGCGGCTGTGTTGGCAACTTGATACAGGCGTAGTTCGGCGTTGTTTATATTAGATAGGTCAATGTCTTTCAACCCCGAAAGATCAAAACGGATGAAGAGACTGTGACCTGCATCAAATCTTGGCTTTGTGTAAGTGTTCTCTGATAAAAAACGTCGAAAATGAGTAATATGATTAGTTGACAAGTTTGGGTTTAGTTCTTAAAAAACAAAAGTGTGTTTTAAATGACCATAGATGGCGCACTTTCTCGTGTGGCAGGACTGACCGGATGGACGTAATCTACTTCCATTTTGCTACTTCCTCAGTTTTTCGTCTTTATTGTAATTTTCTTTTTCTGTGTCAATATCCAAATAAGGATACGATTATGCAATAAAGATTATTATTATTATAATTACAAGCAGCACACGCGGAAAGCGGAAGATTTAATGAATACCGACTGAAAGGAAATCCTGAAGACTCTAGCCCACTCATTATAAGTTGTGTTTCCCATACTTTCTGAATCAATCACAAATAGTAAGTTGCGCATAAGAAATGAAACAAATAACTCCCTTTAAACTCTGCGAAACAAAAAAAGCTTGAGTGATTTATTAGAGAACACGTGATTGACAAATACCGTGTTCATTTCACTTCCATGAATTCATAAAAAAATGCTTGTATATATAAAATACAGTATATGGATGCTAGGTTCCAACTGTGACAATCGCAGAATGGAAACCATGCACTAAGACTAGCTTTTGTCGGTTTGTACATTTTTACTACGACGCTGATTGGCAGAAAAACTCGAGGTGTGCATTTAAAGCTTGCGATGACACGGTCTACAACTGAATTATTTGTGATTTGTTCGGCGTCTCTACGCATTGAGAAAAAACCGCAATATTATTGTGCGAAAATGTTATATTTTATTTTATTTTATATGACGCATATTATACTCACGATCTCCATGATGAGTTGTTCGGCGTGTCGTATACCCCCCCCCCCCCCCCCCGTTACTAGTAGAAACTTATTCACGGGTACGCAAAATGTTTCAAAATTAGCAAAGGATTCTTTTTTGACATTTTCGATGGTCAGTGTGTCATAAAAAGTAAAACACGCAACTACAACACGATTGTGTCAGTGCTGGAATACCATAATACTACTTATTTGTATACATGGTCAACTTTCACAACTAGCTGATATAGCTACAAAACACGTCATATTTAGCTCATTCAAGACGCAGCAATAATGTATTAATATGTTCACAGTGGAAAGCATTAAATATTTATTGTTGTACAATGACGTCACTAGAAGACGAGCACAGAAGCCAGTCAAAAGCCAGTACAAACTGCCGTCAACTTATGCGAATTAAAGTACGAAACAATCATGACGACTGTTACCTTCGTTGGGCCATTCTTCATCTCTTACACATTTCGTCACTTCGCTGGCATAGTAGCTATTATCATCATCGTCCCCACCACGATTACATTCGTCTTTTTGGTCCCTTGTACGTTCGTTTAAAAGATCCACTGTCTGGTTGTACAGAAACATGATCTCCTCGGGTACGTCATCGGGCCCCTCGTCTTCAGGGGGACTTTCCAAGCCAAGTTTGCTCAGAATCTGTCCCCGGATCGCATTGATACGTTTGGGTTCGTACTGATCCCAGTCCAAAGTGCATTGCGATGTTGCCATAGAAACTCTGATAATTATACTTAGAAAAAAACAAGATAGTAGATATGTCTTATGCCCAGCCATCTCGAGATCGTTTATCAACGCAATCGTCTCCTTGACACTTCTCACCGTTGATGCATGCTTATATACACGTGCACGATACCATGTGGGCTGCGACAGGAATGTTCTACTGTGTTGGTGTGGGTGCTATAGTTTCCTTCATAGGAGTCATAGTAGCAATAATTTTAAATTTGATACTCCTTCAAGGGCTGGTCGTAAAGCGCGTCGACACGAAGTTAGATTACAGAGCACCGTTATTCGATATTGCTATACAACAAAAACCGAGTGTTTAAGATATCTCATCATTTCACTGTTTGTTTACTTGATCACAATCGTGCCTCAGATTGGTTTTGTGAAACCACTACAGTCCCTCAGTCAACAAATATTTCCCGGCGTGAATGGAATGCCCCGAGATCATTGTTGTGACATACCTTTCGAGTGTCTGGTGATAGATTACGTCTTCTAATAAAACATCGCTTGTCTATTTTGATCTTATATTTATATAGAGCTGTAGCAAGAATTCACACTAAAACACATGTGCGAACAGGAAGACATTAAAAAAGAAGAAGATACACTTTTATCATCAATGCAACTCAGTTCTCGCATACCGGGTCCCACATCCCGTCACTACAACGACCTTGTCATTCAGGCGTGACCACAAATTGTGACCAATATCAGGAAACCGCACCAGGCGTGACGGGAAATACTTTTACATTTTTCTGTCCTGTGTTTTAAACACATCGAAGTATAGACGGAATGAATGGGCTGGGAAAGTATGAAATAGACAGCAGATATTGCATTTCTTCACGATGGCGACATCCCCCGCCAGGGTCACGGTACGTCATTCTCTCTGCTGGGAGAAATTATGTTAATTTATCTGCAAATAAATTATGTTTTTTAATCTAACTACTCCAACATAAATAAAGGCCGGCCTCATCCACGCTGGATACCATCATTCATTCAATTTATTGTCATAGTTGTAATTTCACCCTGGCAATGATATATGAATTCTATAAACACTGTACAGTTGACGAGTTCGAGTGTATAATATTACACCACCACATGTGTCGTCCCACCATTACTGTGCTGCCCCAGTTTACGTTTTATAAATATGGTATAGATCAAAGGCTAAATGCATTTCACCACAGGAAGATATACAATCACATAGAAATGAAAGACACATACCACATGTAAGCAACACGATATATCACAGCATTGGTCACTATTGAAGCTAATCATAAGTTATTAAGTATACTTGGAGATGATTTGATGTTCCGTTTTCGAGCCTCTAACAAGTCTGGAATGCGGTCTCTTTTTGCGCCGCCAAAGTAACTGGAAAAACTGTAACTGAAAAAGGGCAGGTAATCTTGGACACATGAATACAGGATGACCACGAGCTCATTCGACATGATGCTTTGATGTATTATTGATGCATACAAGCCAGGGGAAATCGTGACGGTATAAATAACGATGTAAATGTTATTAAAAGCGCGACCTATAGTAGTACATAGGTCATGAGAAAAAGACGAATGGGTTATCGATCTATTAATCATTTCTATGGAGAACGCATATTTATTCATATTTCTAAGCTTTCAATATAATTTGTTAAGAGGTAGAAAGTAGATGAATATGTACAAATATTTATTTATTGCATTCTTAGAAATGCAATGTTTCTACTACTGCTATGAGAGAAAGGAAAATAAGGGTATAAAATAATGTTACACATCCTGATTGGAGTTGTGTATATATAATTACCAATCTTTTTTTATTACGTCATCTTTGACGTCATCGGGACGTTAATGTAATGTCTTGTACATTTGTTGGCGTATTAAGTTTTGAGAGCATATCAAAACAAAGTGCAGTTCACATCTATTTCATTCTGTGTACATCTTCTGCAAATTCTATTTGCAGTAGGTATTTTAGGTTGAGTACATCTTCCTTTTCTATTATTGCCAAGTTGTGATTACTAATTCTAAATTATGTCATTGTCACGTACGATGTCCTGGCACAACGAATTGGGTTAGAAAGCATTAAAAATAAGATTTAAATATTCCCATTATTGCTTTTACAAGACGTCAGACAATTCTTATCACCACTGGATGAGATGCACGCACATACATCATCACATAGTATAGCGTTATCATGTACCAATAGAACGGCGTGTTAAAATAATCAAAACAGAATGGCCTGTTTTGTGCGTTACAATTCCCACAAGCCAAGGTAATGTTTTGCCAGAAAAAAAGGTCTGGTCGAAATATATATTTGAAGATAGTGAAACTATTGATCACCTTGTCCGTGATTTGTGAATTATACTATAATTTATGACATTTATTTCGCAATAGTTACGAACTCAATGAAATAAATATTAGTTTATCAAAAACATTGGACATAATTCTTGTTTGTGAGGAATTCGCTGACATTTTAGTTTAGTGTAGATGCGTGGGCCATAAGTGTAGCCTCAATTTTAAAAATAAAATGGTCACCATCGGGCCATCTTTAATTGGATCATCAAGTCAATGTACATACACATCTCAGCAAATTTAAGCAGGAAAATACCAATTTTGGTGAAAAATACTTGAAAAAGTTTGCTGGAAAAAATGCAGTTATACCGGTACTACATATTGAAAAATAGACTAAGTGATTATTATCCACATTCTTAGTATACCTGTACGTTTTCTTTTTCTGTACTTGATTTGAACTTTCAAGCTAAGCTAATTTTATCAGAATCTGATTGCATCTAATTACACTTGTGTTGGTTTCATCTCTCCACTCACCTGCATTTTTATCAGTATCTCTAAAAATATACAAGTCAGCTATACCAAACTTGAACTGCACAGAGATTATATACTGGTTCATAATATTGTTATCCCAGCCACAAGAAGTTCTGACAACAGAAGATGACAGACATTGTAGCCACTGTACCACGCCACTTCATTATAACAGGAAAGATATAAATGGGGCAACAAGATGATTTCTGTTTTGCTAAAATATTTGACAAATTTTGCATGTTTAATCAGTTTGTCAAAAGAGGTAGCTATGCAGTGTCGTAACAAGTGAACATAAAATCTACTCGCACGCTGACCAGAATTTGTTTAGGCCTACACCACCCATAATGTAAAATTCATGCCTTTAATACGGAAACTGACTCAGCAATGTCGCCCTCCACGGCCATAGTTATTTATTCATACGTTTTTGTAACATTTATTTTTAAATGTTTTTGTGCCAGGCAACAGCTCTGGACATTGAGCGTCACTGTTGTCTGTTGACTTTTTTTGTAAGTGCAAGTGCTGACACATAGTGCATTTTGCCACAGAAGTCATATTCACGTTTGGGACTACATGACAGAGCTGTGAGGCCTATCAAATCAAATGGCAATTTCAATGCCCTATCTTGGAGTCAACCAGGCTCGGTTGAACACAAGCACCTGTGGACCTTAACCAAGGTTCCCCCAAAGTAGCATTCATTAGTAAATTAATCTCGGCCAGTGGAATTGGCCTTCCCATTGAGTCTGTGGCATACTCACCCCAGGGTGGGGGTCGACCCTTTGATGTTCAGCCTAAGGTAGGATTTGAACTTGGGTCTACCGATCATGAGTCTGATGCGAACTATGCTACCAGTGACCGGCTGTTTTTGTAAAATACCTATTTTGAAACAAAGCAATATATCACAATAAGTTTGATCCAGAACATCATCATGGTGAAAAAATGAAAATTGCCATCTATATCAAATCAGATGAGTAGAGAATACATTGCTGCCAAACATAATTGAAAACTGTCTTGTCATCTATAACCAGATGTTAACATGTTCAATTATTATGATATGGCCAGTAATTCAACTAAACAAGGACTAATGTGTTTAGAATATCAACTCACTTCATTCAAATCATACACACAAAGAACCAATTTTTTTCTAATTTTATTATGATTAATCACTTTCTGACATGTTTTCAACTTCATTATCTTCATCATCATTACTATCACTCTCTTGGTCCCAGTCTTTCATCTTAGCCCCCATCATGAAGTCCTCCCTCAATACGCTCCATGAGGGCTCACTCTCTTTGTTCTTTGCTGATGAGTTGTGACTCTGTTGTAAATAGATTATAAAATGAAGTTACTAATAATGCCTATCAGCCAATCAATATGTACCAGGGTGGCTCTTTATTGTAAAGTCAAGCTGGACTAATGTAAAGAATGCCTGACATTTTCAATTTGGTGTAATAAAGTTAATTTTATATATGCAAGGGTTGTATCAATGTGATTGAAGTCCGATGTAGGTATTGGCTCCAACTTTTTTAATTATTTTTGTTTATTTATGAGTTTTTACCGTTTTATCTTTGCAAAATTTAATAAAAAACTTAATAACAGCAAGTAAAACCAAAAAAATGAATAAATACAAATAATATTAAAAAATGAAGCCGATCTCTACATCAAATATTAATCAGATTTGGGTTGATTTTTTTGCGCTTACTGCGAGATTTTGTATATTGCATGAAATGTGCGGTCCTAACGTCTGCCGCAAATATCAAACAATTCAGTTTTAAATTTGAATCTCAAAATGTTGATTTTTCAGAGGGGAATTTTGTATTTACTTCATTCAAATCAACCATCATCAAGTGTGTACAGCACATTATTAAGTGCTGGGAATACTGATATTTGGAATTGCCCATCACTATTATTGTGCATGGAAATTAAAATTGTCAAACATTTCAGAATAAATATATTATGTTTATTTGTTATTGCCTAATTCACACAGTTTTGCTGAACATCCGTTCGTGATCATGTTAAAAAAAGCTGTATATGAAAGATTAGATTGGGCACACCAAAGAGCTGGATCCATCAATCAGCATTCCTGTAACAACAACTTGCATCAATTTCAAATTTAAACCAATAGATTTTGCTGTCTTATATCACTGTTGTAACTTAAGTGACAACAAGACATGATATTGTGTTCAATTTACTATGGAAACAAACAAGAGCACATGCTGTTGAGTTTGATTTCATTGACAGTGAATACAAGGTGAGGCGACGACCGAATAAATGAACCTTGGCTGGCGAAGATAATTTTTTAGTGAAACCTCTAAAAATAATTTACTTGAAATTGTGTACTAAAAGTTTGGCTAACTTGAACATGTGAAAGCATCAAGGTGAGGCATACATATATAGGCAATGACCTTAGGAAATAACACATAGAAGATTTAAACATGATCCATCAATTATTATATTTTAGTATGTGATAAACAACTAAGGGATGTATTTATGATGCAACTTAACATTACAATTGTAACCTAGCTCAATGTGTTACATTCTGTGCTGTACACAATTTAGTTTTGTTTCTGACAAGATAGGACGGAATGGCCTGGAAATGATACACGGTAACAAGAAGTTTGTATCATCGATAAGATAATATTAATTCAAGTACAATATATAGATAAACCATAAATATTGATTAGCACTGACAGTTGACGTGCACCAATAGGAACTAAGAAAGAATAGCCAATGGGATTCAGTGTAACAAATTGGATTATTATATGGGTGGAGCCATAAGTTGGTCCACTTGACACCGAACACCTTCATCCAAACCCTCCTCATCACACCTAATTCTTTCAAGTGCAGTAATTATTAATAAGATTAGACTTACTATAGCAATAATTGATATGCCCAGAAAAATTATGAAATGATGTAGTAGTGAGAATTTCATTTATGTAGTATCACGCACATTTATTAAATCACTCACATTGCATATTGTTCTACCATGATAATCTATATTTACTAACCAGTGATGCTGGCATCTTCAACAAATCTTTATCTGGTTTAGAAATCACATTGGCTGCTGTTCCTTTCAATAAGTCCACAAAGTCACCCTTTGTCATTGACTCCAGGACCTTCGTTCGTTTTCTTTCAGAAGAACCAACTTCTTTTAATTTTGTGTCCAATGTTTTCTGTTGCTTCTTTACTGCATTAAACAACTGGACCACACCCCTAAAGAACAAGTGAAGGAATGTGAAATAAAATAAAGATTCTCACATAAGAATATCATTACAGTTCCATGCAATGTTTGTTGTATATTTTAAAGGTTAAAAACCTCAATCTCGCATCAAGTTGTGATACATGTACTAACAGATCACATACAAGTAACATGGTACAGCTACGTAAACTTATAACCAATTTTGCAAACTGATTTTTACTCAGTTTTTCTTGTTTATAAACTTGTTCCAAACTGACCTAATCTTTTGTTACACTATACTAAACTCATCACCAAATTTCCCAGTATTTTTGTGACCTCATTGTTTGTAAACCCACTCTCCTTGTAACCCATCCAAACCAACCTTGATGTAACCTTCCTACCCAAATTATTCTCCCTGTAAACTCACTCTCCTTCCTGTAAACTCACTCTCCTGCCTGTAAACTCACTCTCCTTCCTGTAAACTCACTATCCTCCCTCTAAACTCACTATCCTCCCTGTAAACTCACTCTCCTCCCTGTAAACTCACTCTCCTCCCTGTAAACTCACTATTCTCCCTGTAAACTCTCTCCTCCCTCTAAACTCGCTCTCTTTCCTGTAAACTCACTATTCTCCCTGTAAACTCACTCTCCTCCCTCTAAACTCGCTCTCCTCCCTGTAAACTCACTATTCTCCCTGTAAACTCACTCTCCTCCCTCTAAACTCACTCTCCTCCCTGTAAACTAACTCTCCTTCCTGTAAACTCACTCTCCTCCCTCTAAACTCACTCTCCTTCCTGTAAACTCACTCTCCTTCCTGTAAACTCACTCTCCTCCATGTAAACTCACTATCCTCCCTATACACTTACCTTGTTGCAGTTCTCTGTAATGATTTTTCATACTCTCTGTCAGTGACTTTTGGTTTCACTCTTGACATCTGTTCCCAGTTTCTTTTCCGCTCAAGCTGTAGAATAAGTTTTTTTCTCATTAAAGACATTCAAACTGATAGAGGGGTTGCTGAACACTAGATATCAGCCATACTTATTGCATCACACAATACCACAACAATAACATGACATAATTGTATGACAATTTCATTACATAATGGAATGACAATTCCATCACATATGAAATTGTATTTCATACACTGATAGATGTTCTG